CCACATCCTCATTTAGGGTGATGCAGTCAGCAGAAGGCGTGAGAGGAGTTTGGCTCCATGTGGCCACAGTTAGAGCACATTCACTCCTTATCCCCAAAGAAGCTTTGGGACTTCCTGGGGGATCTTGGCTTGGAGGAAGTATTGTGAAGAGTGGAGGGCACAACAGATCATTAGGTCGCAGTGCATACCTCATAAATTATCTATCTATCTATCTATCTACTTAATATAGCAAGGCCATAACTTATTTCATTTTGAAATCCACATTTGTGGAAAAGTCGGCAGGTTATTCACTAACCATCTAATGGAATACAAAAATAACTATCGCAGTATTATCTACATACAGCCTTAATTAAAAAACAGTATTCGAATAGAATTTGCAACTAGAGAACTTTACTTTTTAATAAATTTAAAAAATTACTTTACAAAGAAATAAAAATGTTAGATAATGCCCTTATGGACGTATAGAAACGCCCAATTGGCTGCACATTTAAATTTTTTTATTTAATATGTATTTTTTAGTTAGCAACAAACCCGTTAACTAACATTCATCCCTAACATATGTAACGGGTGATTTTTTTGAGGTTAGGATTTTCATGCATTAGTATTTGACAGATCACGTGGGATTTCAGACATGGTGTCAAAGAGAAAGATGCTCAGTATGCTTTGACATTTCATCATGAATAGACTTAATTCTTTTCTCTCCCCCATAGCAGAGAATGACGAAATGGGCTGCGTCGAAATAATCGCAACAGCGATTTCCATCATTGTTATGGTACTCACCTTTCCCATCTCCGTATTTGTGTGCTTCAAAGTTGTCTCTGAATATGAGCGTGCCGTAATCTTTCGCATGGGTCGGCTACGCAGTGGTGGCGCTCGTGGTCCTGGCGTCTTCTTCGTGCTACCCTGCGTAGATGACTATTGCAAAGTGGATCTTCGTACAGTTTCGTTTGATGTGCCACCACAAGAAGTGTTATCCAAGGATTCGGTTACTGTGACTGTGGATGCAGTAGTTTATTATCGCATCAGCGATCCTCTCAAAGCTGTAATACAAGTGTCCAATTATAGCCACTCAACGCGTTTGCTAGCTGCCACAACACTGCGCAATGTCCTAGGTACCCGAAATTTGTCCGAACTGTTGACGGAGCGCGAAACTATTTCGCATACAATGCAAGTATCGCTAGATGAAGCAACCGATCCGTGGGGAGTGAAAGTCGAACGTGTAGAAATGTAATTTTTTGTGGTTAGCTCAATGATTCAATAATTATTGAATCATGGTTAGCTCTAGAGATGGAAATTACATACGTTGTTTTTTTTTTGTATATTTTTTTCCTTCAGCAAGGACGTATCTCTACCAACCGCTTTACAGCGCGCCATGGCAGCCGAAGCCGAGGCAGCTCGGGAGGCGCGCGCAAAAGTGATCGCGGCTGAAGGTGAAATGAAGTCATCGCGGGCATTGAAGGAAGCTTCAGAGATTATTTCTGCGAGCCCATCAGCATTACAGGTAAGTAGAGAATAGGATGCTTTATAGTGTTTTAAAACAGCTTTGGGTCCGTATTCTGGAAATAAAGCCTAGCCTACGCCCTCATCTGAACCAACGATTACTTTGTGATTGGACGGTTCTAGTCCCGATTGACCTGTCGAGTTCCGGAGTGCTCGGAGTTAATTTAAACGGTCTTTCCAATCGTCACTGCCAGAAACATCCGCAGTTTTACTGTGGACCGAGGTTAGGCTAGAACTGGACCTGACTGACTTGACTTCGCAAAAATACCGAGCGTGAATGCTTCCAAGTTATTGGGAGTCACGTTCGATAGCCTTTTCTCCTACTCGGCGCATACCACCGCCGCATGAAATAAACTGCGTACCAGAAAAATTTTCAAGTCGACAGCCGGCAGAACTTGGGAGCTGAGAAAAGGACCCTGGGCCTGTTAGTGAAATAACTGTTATCAGACAACATAAAAATAAACGTTGGGCAATAGCTGTTATCAAGCAACGTAAAAAATAAACGTTGGGAAATAACTCTTATTGGTGACGGAAAACATATTCCTCCTGCATAACAGTTATCAGGCAACGTAAAAAGTAAACGTTGGGTTATATATAACTCTTATCGGCGAATTAAAAAATATTTCTCATCTTATAACCGTTATGGAACAACGTTTTTCCGATAAGACATAACTGTTATGTCCCTGATAAAATGAGCTTATGAAATAAATTTCTTTTTTACTTTTCGTAAATTTCTCAAGTATCACTGCCACCTCAACAAATTATTGTTTTGGCAAATTTTAATATTTTTTAAGGAATTTTTTTACACATTTAAATAATAATACGAAAGGTTAATTTACTTATTTCATCGTATTAGCAGAGCAGTTAATAAGTGTGTTTTGATTTAAATACCTTAAATTACCTTACTGCAAAAAAAATTAACATTACATGAAATATCATTATATCTGGTCTTTTAAGAAATTTAGATATTAGGTTGCTGCTTTAATTTGGATCCTCTTTAGTGGAAATATGAACAGTCATGAAGAGGGAGGTAAAAAAATTTCCTAGTTCCTAGAGCTCCTTAGTTTATAGACAGATAAACTACTCGCTCTACTGCTGCCGTTGCTGCGATTCGCTTAGATTGAGCACATCCGTCACGAGGCTTAAAATTTTCTGTCGAAAAGTGGTTGAAACAAACAAACATTTTGGTGAAGTTACCATGCTCGGGCCATCCCGAAATATGTAGATAATCGTGCTAAATTATGATGAAAATAATTGCATAAACAAATACATACAGTATCGGTCATATCTATAGCACGCCATTTCAAAGTGATATTGTGTGCAACTTATGTTTATTTATTTATTTTTGAGAATTTTCTTTCTCTAACAAACCCCATATAAACCCAAGTTAAACAATTTGTAGAAAACTTCAAAAAAGTGCAACAAATTTTCACCTAAATTTAAAACTTTTTTCTCGGAAGTGTTTGAATTTTTCTGAATATACAGTTTTATAGCCCAATCAATTTTAGTCTGATAATGTGCAAGTTGCGATGCTGTTAGGGCAGGCCCACGAAGACCACCCTAACCCAGCTTCGTTACAGCTGGTGTCACTGATTCAGCAGCTATTTCTCTCGAATGAAAGCGGAACACCACCAAACACCTCTTCGCATGTACATTAGAGTGGTCCAAAAAAATTAAGTTGGAATTTTAATGCCGGCACCCCCTAGGATTGTTCTACATCGAAAGAAATATACCACTATTTTTATACCCGAGCGCACTTGTGCACAAGGGTATATTAATTTTGTTCACATAACGGTTGTTTGTAACAGCCAAAACGAATCGAGATAGATATAGACAAATGTATACATAAATGATCAGGATGAANAACACCACCAAACACCTCTTCGCATGTACATTAGAGTGGTCCAAAAAAATTAAGTTGGAATTTTAATGCCGGCACCCCCTAGGATTGTTCTACATCGAAAGAAATATACCACTATTTTTATACCCGAGCGCACTTGTGCACAAGGGTATATTAATTTTGTTCACATAACGGTTGTTTGTAACAGCCAAAACGAATCGAGATAGATATAGACAAATGTATACATAAATGATCAGGATGAAAAAAGAAATCGATTAAGCCATGTCTGTCTGTCCGTCCGTCTGTCCGTCTGTCCGTCTGTCCGTGTACACGATAACTCGAGCAAAAATTGAGATATCTCAACGAAATTTGGTACGTAGGTTTCCCTTAATCCAAGGTAGGTTGGTATTGAAAATGGGCGAAATCGGACTTTAACCACGTTCACTTCCCATATAACGGTAATTTCCACTCAAAATTGATATTTACAATAATTTTTTGACGAAAAATAAGAATAT